AACTCTATTAGAAAGCATATCTAGTGAAAGCAAATACAATTGCACTTCAGCCGCCGAACTACAGGCAATGTCGATATTGCACCTTTTGATAAAAGTGATTATTTTGACATCAGTCAGTATCAAAAATATTACAAACTAACAGATACTCATTTACATTGTTTTTGTACATACTTGTATTCTGACAGTTATGTAAGTTAACTAAACCTTTAAGAATAAATTACTCATCTCGACAAAATTGTAATTTGTCACGCAATATGCCAAACTGGCTTCAGTTGTCACTAAATACGCACATATCCATATATTGTAGTTTACCTGGAATGCAAAATTTTAAATCATTTTAGCTCACCTTTCCCCCATACACGATATTTAGATAATCACATAAATAGAATAACAAATGTCCTTATTAATTAAACAACATGTCGAACTGATTACCATAATTATTTTCTTTAAAGTTTCTTAAGTGAACAAAACAACTCCTACGCGAATGCTTAAATTAACCGTTTTAGGGACGGTGCTTACCGTATGAGTAACAAAATTTTTGTCGTAAATTTTAAGTTGTTGTCAAAAAGTTTTCATTTTTGCCAGTGAAGTAGTCATAAATGAAAAGTATTTCCTGTATTTGAAGTAATTAAAATCTCACTTTATGTCTCTACTATAAAAATGTTTTAAAAATATTTCGGTAGTATATTATTACAGTAATTACTCATTTAATGCATTTGCGTCTGGATACACTAGACTAATTTCCCCGATTAAGACTGGATTTTATAGCGCACGTCTTTAACTAATAAAATTTAGCTAATTTTTAGGATTGAACTGTGTAACCATTTTTGAATTGGTTTAATAGGTGGCTAAATTTAAACATGCATGAATTTTATCCTTATGTTTTTCATTTTTACACTTGTATTACGAGTATTATGAATTTTCAATATGTGAAATTTATTCATAATTGAATCGCCGACACCTGGCTTGATTTATAGGGTTTTTAAGATAAAAGGGTTTGAAGAATAATGAAGAAACAACAACAAAAATTTGATTAATTTATTGAAATTTAGCTGACCACACAACGCTGTTTCGAGTATTGCCAAGTACTCTTCATCAGTGGTCTTTGGAATAATCGAATTTTATTTAATTAGTTTATAGTCCGTATATAATTTGTTTCGACTGCAAGTGCCAAGCTTAGAACTCGTCCCTGTCAAATTAGAAGCGATGACTAATCGTGTTTATCCACAAGAAGCCAAGGCTGCACAAACTTTTAATGCTAAAGTTCCAAGTTTTTTGTCACTTCTTATTTTTTAAGTGGCACTAACCAAAGTACTAGCCCTGCTTTTAAATTAGAACGAGCTTATAAACTAGAACTTAACTTGGAAACACAAAACATTAGTTTTGGTTTCACAATAAAAGAATTAAATAATAAATTTAATTATATTTTACTCTAAAAAAATTTTTTTTAACTATATCTTATCGAAACATAAATATATTTGTAAGTAAATACACTTTGTAATTAGTTATTTTTTAATATCTGAACGTTTAGCTTTACTGTGTATGGTAAAATGTATATAGTATTCAAATGATACAAAAGCAAATAATGCCAATAACAATAAGAAGTTCTTGTGTATTTAAGGCAGTCCATACATTCATTTACGTCACATTTTTCAATAACTTTAATTGCAATAACCTCAACATTTGCAATTAGTAAATTTGATTTAACGATAATTATGATGAAAGAAACTAGTTGCAGTCTTAAAAAATTATTTACGATTAATTAAATATAAGAAATATTTTCGAAAGGACTACTGATGATAGTCTCTGGCAATACTCGACACAGTTGTATAGTTAACCACAAAATTATTTAATTAAAAAAATAAAATTTTGTTGTTGTGATTCACGACTATTCAAAAATCCCTCTATTTACAATTACTGCCTATGGTATTAGTTTCCGAAAAAATTGTAGGTTTAATCAAAATATTTTAGTAAATTATAGGGACTTGAACAATTTTACGTAAAATCGCATAAAGAGTCTCTCGTTGAAGGCTGTTCAAAAAAAACGTCAAGTATTCTGCAGTTTTGATGATAGGCCTTATATACCATAAGTTACACGCCTCTGATATTCCATTCTCACTCTAACTCTTTTTATTATTTATTTTAGGAACCCTTTCCAAATTGCTAGTTTCATACACAATGTAGTAAGCTCAGTCGTTTATTTACAAACTCCTGTGTTTCGCTAAAACTGTCTCACTGGTTTATTGCTTTGCGTTTTATTGCAAAGGATTTCGATAAGAAAAGTTTGAGGATAATTTTAGGAATAAACGTATTTGGTATGCAAATTCTTTACTTCAGTTTTGCTTAAAGCATATGTTAAGCATTTTGATAAATTTGATATTTGACAGCGGCGCTTGGTAAACAGATTGAGACTGTGACATATGCAAATTCAAGTACAAACATTTTGGCATACCAGGAATGGAAGGAAAGCAAGTAAATTTCTGACTTGAAATATGTAAAACAGAATTTGACACTAAATATTCTTAAAGGAGATTAAACTTTGTACTTTGATTTTGCTCTAAACAAATTTATTTTGATGTACATTGAGTGCCCTATTTATTAGTTGTAATTTATCTGAAACTCTGTATTTGTGTTACTGATTAAGAATTATTTTCTTCATTTTAGCATATTTTTTTAAGGCGTTTTTTTAGTAATTTAGTTTGCATTTTAAAGCACTTCTCTTAAAGTTAAAATTAAATAAGCTTTAAAAAGTTTTTATAAAAATTGTTTAATTCATATTAAGTAAATTTCATAAAAATTTATTTGTATTATATATTTTAAAAAGTTTAGATATCCAAACTTACTTTTAATATCCCTAAACTTTTTAGTCAAATTTTTCACATTTTTATCTTCTCTTGTTATCTTATATTTTGTATTCATTTCCGACAAAAAGGGAATATTTTTATAATTAACTTTTTTGTTTTATTTTACCTTTAATAAATGAACTCTTTAGCAAATTTAAAAACTTTTGTAAAAGTTTCCAACAAATCAAAACCTGGTTTCAGCAGTTATTTGTTAATTTGTACATAATATTATTAAGCGATCCTTTTGTAAACATCTTGTTGTTTTAATTTTCTTTTAATTAAAGAAGTGCAGTTATAAGTATCTTAATAAGTTCTTTTGTTCTTATAACGTGCTCTGACTTGCTCCTATGAGAGCATTCAGCTGAAACACTAATTAATGCCATAAAATCATAAAAACAACAATAACAATAAGAAAACAAACGAAACAATTTGCGCCATATGCAAATTCCAATGGCGCCAGATTCAGTTTTTTCTTATTTTAAGGATTTTCTGAATTTCACGCACACATTTTCACATAAAATTTTGCTAATTAAAACAACTTAGATACTTTGTTTGTAAATGTGTTTTTTTTTATAGAGTTTATTAAAATTCAAACTTTGAATAATTTAGTAAACTTGCAAAGAAGGTGAAATTTTCTAGTAATATAGTAATACCTATGAATTTAAAAATTAGTAGCAGTAAAATATAAAAATTAACGTGGTAATAGACTCCCAACGTAACACTCATGTCATAACTAGTCTTTTACTAACAACCGATCCCCATCGAAAAAAAAATATTCAGCCCTTCGAAAAAGAGCAAAACATCTTCCGTTGGGTGATATTAATATCACGTGGAAATAAATAAATAAAATAAATAAAATAAATAAAAAAAATAAAAGTTCCAGTCTTAAAATACTTCCTATCACATCATACTCAACACATCTTCTGTTAGGTATTTTTTAATATCAGAGGAGGATAAAAGCCCCAACCTTAAAATTCTCCTCATGACCATATCAAAATTGGAAAGCGACATAAAATGCGACTATAACCTATAGTCTATAGGGTATCATTTGCTTTCAAGCACATTCGTAATTTTGTCTTCTCAATCAGACATACTTTGTTGTGGTAATAAAGTAAATTATATGACCTGTCGTATTTTGTAAGAGTGTACCATTTCTTCTACCTGGTTGTGCCTGGATCGAAGAAAGTGTGTCGCTGCGCCAATAGCGACACACTTTTCTTAAGATTTGTTTTTCTATAACACTTAGTTGGAAATCAAATTATTTCGAAAGTTTATTACTTTATATGCTTTATATATAACTATATATAGATGTATATATATTTGAGATTTGATAAATTTAGAAGCTGAATTTATATTTGAAAAGAACTTATAAAAAAATTTAATTGTGAAATTTATAATTTACTAAATATTATTAGATACATTCTATATATTATGTATTACTACATGTATCTTAACTTTTGGAATTTCGACTATAAGTTATAAATCTCCTTTTAATATCTTATACTATGTTCAGATATACCTTAATTTCGCAAAAATCATCTTAATTTCATCTTCGTTTCAGCGAAATTAAGTTATTTTTTCCATACAAATTTCAGTTTTGAGGTTAGAACGAAATTAAGGAAAATGGCCTGCTGAATGCCGTCCTTTATAGTTATAATAATTAACTTTTAAAATTTCCCAGATACAAATGGTGTTTGGAGCATGTAATTTTTAACATTCGATTTGTAAACAAAAAACATACGATTTCCTTAATGTGGGGCAGTATGAACAGTTTTGAAATTAACTTAATTTTATTTTTAAGAAATTAAGGAAATTTAGACAACCAAATTAGTCTAAATAGTATTATAATAATATGTATGTAGATAAAGTTCAAGTAATCTTAATAAAGTTATTTAACAAATAACTTAATTAATATTTCACATAAATTTGTTGTAATTCAGTCAGAGTATGTAATACACTATATTTTAATTTTCTTTCATTTAATTATAATTTTGTTAAACACAAAGTCTTTTGAGTATATCCATATAAAAACATCAAAAATTAAATTTACAAATTGCACATAATTAATAAATTTTATCATTCCCAAAACACTAATAACTGCTCTTGTAAATACAAAAATATTTTAAAATATATTTTGACAAATATAATTACACTTACCCACATTATCCTTAACAAAAATATTAAATTTATAATCAGCACAGCGCAAACTGGACCCTGAAATATCCAGTCGACAGGTGTTTCGTGCATCCATGGACAGCCAATGTCAAACTGTTGCCATTTAGTTGACATGAAGAATCACATAAGTACCCCATGGTTGCCATATTACAAAAAAAAACGAAGTAAGCAAACGGATGAAGAGTAAGAAATATATACTAAATATGCGGAAACATGAGAAAGGAAGTGAAGCTATGGAATGAAATAAATTTGTAAACATTTGTGATTTTGATCTGATGAACATTTTTTATACTTCATTCCTTGCAAAAGTTAAACAATGCAATATTTGCCTTGACATTACAAAATGCGCAGTGGGTAGCATTTGTAAAAATGTTAAAAATTTAAAAAAA